TGCCCAGGCGGGTCTTGAACCCGAGGGCTCAGGCAATCCACTCACCTCAACCTCCCAAAGTGCGGGATTACAGGTTGAGCCACCAAGCCCAGCTGTTTCCAGTTTTTAATGGTACAAATCACTCTGCGATTAGTGTCTTGGGGATGAGTTGTGAATTCTCACTGCATCTGAGCACTGGCAGTGTCCCTTCCAGCCTGGGCTCAGGGCTCCCCATGTGGGTGGGGGCATTGTCCACCCGCTCCACCTCTCTCACCTGTAGACCCATCAGCAAGCTCCACTTGGGTGTGCCATACCCTACTGCTCCCCACCACCTCTTCCCCAGGCGAGACACCTTCCAAAGGGCCTTCACCTCCAACTGGTCCCCCAGCCCACCTGAGTGGCCTCTCATAGCTGGGCTTGCTGTTTTTTTTTTTTTTTTTTTTTGAGTAGGGGTCTCACTCTATTGCCCAGGCTGGAATGCAGTGGCATGATCACAGCTCACTGCAGCCTTGACCTCCTAGGATATGGCGTCCTCCCGCCTCAGCCTCCTGAGTAGCTGGGACTACAGGTGTGCGTCACTACACCGAGTGAATTTTTAAATTTTTATTTTTGTAAAGACGAGGTCTCGCTTTGTTCCCCTCCTGCCTTGGCCTCCCAAAGTGCTGGGATTACAGGTATGAGCCACTGCGCCTGGCTGCTTCCTCACTTTAGGAATGAAGTCTAGATTCTTAGCATGGCCCTGCTGGACCAACCCCTGCCCCCGACACAGTGTTCCTGGCTCCTACTAGACCCAGTGACTTCTCTTTTCCAAAAGCCCCAGACCCTAGCTGGGCTCTGGCCTCACCTGTGTGCAAGCTTTCCCCTTGTCTGCACTCCTCTCCTGCCCCCCAGATAATGCCACCCCATGGCTTGAGCTGAAGCTGCCTCCAACTCCCCCATTCCGCCCCCCTCCTCCATGTGCCACCACCAGGCCATCAGCCTCCACCAACTCCTCACCCTTGCTCCCCCTGCTGTCCCTGCTTCCTCCCTGGGAAGCCTCATGGGCTGGTACCAAGCCTGCTGTGCTCTGGGACTGGGTACTGTGCCTCGTACACAGAAGCTTCTTAATAAGTGCTCACTGGATTGCTGAGTTGCTTAGAAAAGGAAAGGGTGCCCATCCATGGACAGGCCTTGAGTGAGAGCCCCGTGGTCTTGGGCAACTCAGGGGCCCATGTGGCTTAGGAGAGAGCATCCTCATCTTACAGGGAAGGAATGGAACTCAAGGGACCGCTTGCTCTTAAGATTCTGCCTCGATTCCCCAAAGAGCTGGCCCTGGGTGTGTGGGCAGGTGGGGTGGAGGCTGAGGGCAGGGCCCTGTGGGTGGGTGGGGCAGAGGCCGAGGGCAGGGTCCCTGGCACCCATGTGGCAGGAGGAGGAAGAACAGTACTGCAGAAAGAGAGATTTAGGTTAGACTCCACGTGGAGCAGCCTCTCATGGTGACAGGTCCAGGGAGGCCATCCCCAGGCCCAGGAGGGCCAGCAGAGAACAGGAACCACAGAGAAGGGGGTCGGGCTCACGTGGCCTCGGGGCCATAGATGTGGCTGGGCAGGAGGAGCCAGGCCGGGTTTTGGGGTCATTGAGGTCAGGGGTGGCACCCTGCAGGGAGCCCCACCCCAAGACCTGGGTTCTCCACCCGACCCAGCCATGAATCTGCCATAGGATTCTGGAAAAGCCACGTTTCTTCCTAGGACCCCCATTCTCCCAAGTGATCAAAGTGACTGGATTGGAATCCGCTTTTCCCCCAGGGACCCTGATCACAGCCTTCCAGGAGGCACTCCTCCCCATCCCACACAGTCTGGTGAGCGGTACTGTCTGAGGGCCAACCATGCCCAGTGGGCCCATGGCACTGGCAGCATTCCCACACCATGTTACCATTCCAGGAAAAGGGAAGACGTGGAGCCCTAGTGACCCAGGGGCCTTCCATGGCCAGAGGCATGATGGTTGGCTCAAGGCAGGGGACTGGCCTTCATAGTGGCCAACCCGTGCTCCGTGTTCTGGCCCTCCCTGTGCCCACCTCCTTGCCCCCTCCCTTACCTGCTCACCCCGCAGGGCCTGGTGGATGGTGAGGCTGCGGTTGCTGTGCATAGTGAACAGGATGACTTTGCCCGTGTGGTTGAACCGGGGGGCTCCGGCCACGTACACCCGCCCCTGCCTGGAGGACACGACCGAGGTGACTGTGTACCCTGCCGCAGGAGGAAACAGGCTGGTCTCTGGCACCATGTCCTCGGCAGGCCTGGCTGGGCCTCATGCGTGGCTGGGTCGTGCAGGACAGACCGTGACCGGGAGGGTTCAGGGTTGCTGAGCAGATGCGGTCACGCAGGCCATGATTCCAGGGCAGCTGGGAAGGCCTTTGGGGGGCAGGGCCCAGGGGGCGTCACGAGAAGGACTCACGCCCCCCCATGCCTGCAGGGGATGCCACTGACTGGGAGTGTACACCCCTTCTTCCCCCTCCAGAGCCTGGGAGCTCACTGCAGTTAAAACCGGGCAGACATCGTTTCCCCTCTCCCCAGTCTCTGCTCCCAGGGACTACTTGTGTCCTTCATGACCATGAACCACGTGACATGGCCCTGACTGCTGCTTGGTAGTGGAAGGAATAGCTCTGCTCCAGGTGTCTCATGGGGTCTTAGGGGTTCTGGCAGTCTCAGAGCTTTGTGGGCTCAAAGGAGAAGGCTTCCAGGCTCCTCTTGGGCCCCACAGCAGACGCCAGGGAGAAGGGGATGGCCCCTGGGCTCTTCTGGAGAGGCTGCCATGTGTGGTCCTGGCGTGGCTGCACCTGATCACAGGAGTCTTGGGTCAGCCACCCGGGGTAGGCAGGAGTGCATGGCGCCTGCAGGCAGCACTCCCAAAAGCAGAGGCCCCCAGGTGTGTAAAGGCTACGGCACCCCAGCGCCCCACTTTCTGCCAGACAATCTTGGATACTAAACCTAAATTTTATTTCTTTTTATTTATTTTTTTCTTGAGTCAGGCTTTCTGTCCCTCAGGCTGGAGTGTAGTGGCACAGTCATGGACACCACAGCCTTGGCCTCCTGGGATCAGGCGATCCATTTCAGCCTCCCCAGTAGCTGGGACAACAGGACTACAGGTGCACACGATCATGCCCAGCTAATTTTTAAAAAATTTTTATTTTTTGCAGAGATGAGGTCTCGCCATGTTGTCCAGGCTGGTTTCCAACTCCTGGGCTCTACCAGTCCTCCTGCCTTGGCCTCCCAAAGTGCTGCGATTATAGGTATGAGCCGCCATGCCTGGCCTGGAGCTCAGATTTTAAATGGGTTTTGGGCCCTGTCAACAGTTCCTGAACTGTTTCTGGGGAACTGACATCTCCTGCCATGTATGGATGCGTCTGTGTGCATGGGTGTCTATTGGGGTAACACTGTCACTTGGGACCTGCCGGCCACTTCCAGAGTGGCTGGCTACAGGGCAAACACAGGAGTTGACCCAGTGGTGGAGTGGGAGGACAGACAACTCTGGCTCCAGGTGTGTCACTTTTGACTCTTGATGATGCATCCTGGGAAGCGGGCTCAGGAGGTCTGGGAGAGCAGGGCCTCAGATGGGGGAGCTGATATGGTCGTGCACAGCCACAAACAAACAGAGCAGGGGTGGGGTTGTCCTCATGGGTGGGGCCAAGCTTTCTCCTGTGTTGAGCCCATGGCACAGCTGAACTGCTCTCAGGGGGCCTTGGGTTCTGGGCTGCCTGGGTGCGGGGGGAGAAAATATGGGGAGGGGCTGGGCCTGGGTCCCAGGAGTGGGTGGGGACCTCCGAGCTCCTAGAGCTGCCTGCCTCCCAGGAGGCTATGCCTTGGGTTCCCTGAGGGGCTGTTCTGAAGTCGGATTGGCCTCCCCAAAGGCCTGGTAAGAAGACAGAGCCAGGGCCTGAAGTCTACACCTCACCATCCTCCCAGCCTCCTTCCCCGCAGCTGCCCTCTTGCTGGATAGCAGCTGCCCTCTCGCTGGCCCAGCCTCCTTCCCCCCAGCTGCCCTCTCGCTGGATAGTCGGGAAGAATCTTCCAGCAGGGATCTCTGCCCCTGACACTGCTCTCCCAGAGGATCTCCCGGAGAGACTCCCAGAGGGAAGAGGGGGAGAGACGACACTCCCCAGGACTCTTCAAGGCGGTGACTGTGTTAAGGCACGACAGGCCTCTTGAGTGTCTGTCAGTCATGTTCTACCCCATTGGCTTTCTGGGAGGAGAAGGAGACTGACTTTGCTGGGCTAGGGGATGTTCACCCTGCTGTGTCCTCACTTAACTACCTTCAATAGCTTCCCACTGCCAGCATGAAAAATGTGAACCTCTCAACCTGGCACTGGAAGCCACCTGCTGCAGCTGTCCTAACCTGCTTTCCCCTCCCTGCCCCCTCCCCCTGCTCCAGCCTCGTGGGTCCATTTCCTGGGCCCTGAAATCCCCTGGCATCCCCCACCTCACTCCTTTGCTTGGCCTTCTGGCTTATTCAAAACTTGCCCTGCTGCAGGGACCTGGGAGACTGCCCTGAGCAGGCAGCTCTGGACCACAACCACCCACGTGGCTTCACACTCACTTGGAAATAGCCCCAGGGGAACTTGGGACATGTGGATGTGATCTGCTTTGCTATTTGTTTTTAATTTTCTTATTTATTTATTTATTTTAGAGACAGGCTCTCGCTCTGTCACCCAGGCTGGAGTGCAGTGGTGCAGTCATAGTTCATTGCAGCCTCGACCTCCTGGGCTCAGGTGAGCCTCCTGCCTGGAACTACAGGTGCACATGACCACGCCCTGCTAATTTTTCTTGCTATATTGTTCAGGATGGTCTTGAACTCCTGGGCTCCAGCGATCCTCCTACCTTGGCCTCCCAAAGAGCTAGGATTACAGTCGTGAGCCACTATGCTGTCCTTGCCTTGCTATTTTAGTGCCTCATGGCAGTGTGTCTCCGCCTCTCCCTCGGTTTCCTGACTTCCAGCACCGTGCTGCACACTTGGAAGCCCCACCAAGCCTGCAGTATCTTAGTGGGGAGTGCTGGCTTCGTTCTCCCCTGTCCTTCCTGGACCCCTCAACAGGGTCTGATGGCCCTCTAAACTCTGCCAAGGCAAGGACCCAGTCTTTCCCTGCTCCTGCTCTGAGCTCCTGGCTGGCTCCTTTGTGTTAGCACAACTGTGCCTGGAGCAGCCCGAGGGCGGGCTGTGTCCTGACCACACTGGTGCCTCAACCACAGGTACCCTTCTGGCCTCTGGGCTCCACACATGTGAACTGAGTGGGACCCAGGCCCTGGGGACCTATGCCTGGACTCTTAGGACAGTCCTGACATTGTGCCCTGTCATCAGGAGGGTCCCAAGGTTGGGATGGAAAATGGGGTCCCCCATGAGGGCTGTGTCCAGGCAGGGCATGTGTCTGAGAGCTGAGGATGAGGGCAGGAGGGGATGGAGTGTCAGCGGAAGGTCAGACACATGTAGGAGAGGGTCCTGGAGTCACTCATGACAAGTAACTTCTCAGGGAGTGGGCATGGTCCAGAAATCCAGAAAGGCCTCACAGCTGGGACCTCTCACCACCCGATCAAAAGACTCGATCCTGCGGTCCTAGGTGTCCTCCAAAGCCCTGGGCGTCCCCCTCCCCAGTGCTCAGTGGCCATGGCCTGTGCCAGGTTGTGAACATGGCTAAAAACCAGCAGGCTTCTGTGCCTGCGCTGACTCTGCAGGAGCTAGGCAGGCTGGGGGCTGAAACCGAGCCAGGCCCTGAAGCCTCAAGACACACCCACAGCGGACCCAGAATCTAGAAATATCCTGGGAGCACATTTAGGACAGGGAGCTGCGGTGTTCATTCTCCCGTGAATGGAGAGCCCGTCACACGGGGCCAGGCCAGGCGTGGGGAGACCGCTGGAAGGAAGCTGTCCCTGGGAGCCC